GATAAGCAGTACAACTTCATAGTATCATGCATCTAACATAATTAATGTTCCACGTGAGTTTTACGTTTCTTGTCCCAATTTTTTTTCATGTTCGCGTTTTACAGCTATACCGCTCTTTAATTCTTTATGGAATTGGACCATGCTATATAATTAATCTCCCTTCTTTGTCACAGCTTCACATCGATCCCCTTATCCATCAGCATGGGTAACACTTATTTTTCATTAATAATAATAATAATAATAATAATAATAATAATAATAATATAGTGTTCGATTATTGAAATTATTTGATATCAGAAATGATCCGGAACCAGACTATGCCTATGGAGAAAAGAAAAAAAAAACAATAATATAGTGTTTAATTATCTATCGGGAATGAGCAGATAATGTAATGTTTAATTACTATATCAGGAATGAGCAGGGATGATCATGTGTAGGCATGATAACAAAATTCATATTCGCGGCTACCCATCAAACTCACTCCAAAGTTGACGAGGAAAATTCGATTTGATTGAGTTTGGATTCAGTTTGGGTTTTTCCCAATTAAAAAATACGGGAACAAATCGAGTAATGGAGACACTAGTACCACTCAGTACCTGCCCCTGAATCTGGCCCATTTATTTTATCATGTACATTCTTATATATTTTTGATAATTTAGAATATTAAATATGTAGCTAATGTTTTAAAAAAAAAATTGTATTTGTTATTTAAAATATTTGAAATTTATATATGAATTTTTTTGAAAATGTTTTATTTTATTGTTTATAATGTAATTTGATTTTAGAAAAATAAATATTTCAACTAAAATTTTTGATTTTATTAAATGGATGGTGACGAGGCGGAAATACCCGAACTCATTTGAGACGGATTTGGGTTTTAATTCTTCATTCCTGTTTGGGTTTGGGACGCAAAATAAAGATTGTTTGAAGATTCGGGTTTGGGTTTGGGGAGGTAAAAATCGTCCCCTGACCACTCTGTTATTATGCCTATCATGTGCTTGACACCATAAAAGACTAGTGTATATATAGAGAATTTCTTTCTCCACCTAGTAGTGGTGAAAATCACCACTGAAAACCCGAAAATATCCTTCGGAAATGCACTTCTGAACTCACCTATCAGCATGTTATGGATGTGCATCTCTGAAGACATCATATCTCCACGTTTTAATACTTAAATGTTAGATTTTAAATTTCAGTGGGTGTTTCGGAAATGCATATCTGAAACATATTTACAGGTTGTTTCAGATATACATATACAAAATTTCCCTGTTTGTGTCATTTTTGTTCAAAACAACATCATTATTCATACCTTTGAAATGGTGATAACGCGAAATTATATCGTATATTTGACTTGACTCACATGAATTTTTAGTTTATTTTTCCTTAATTTATGCCTTGTTATGTCGGTATTATTGTCTTAATTCAGGGGTATATCGAGCAAGTTGGGTATTTGAGTGAAAAGAAGAAAAGAAATAAATAAATGTAAGAAAGGTGGTAAAATAACAAAGAGGGGTGAAATATTAACAAAAAGGAAAAAAATTATGAAGCCCAGCCCAATACACATGAAAATGGCGCCCACCACTCACACGTGGCCCCTGCCACACATGAAGGTGGTGCCCACCACTCCTTATAGTGGCCTCTGCCACGTCCAACTCAAAGATTGTGGCGACCACCACCCCAAATGTGGCCTCCGCCACGAAGCCCATTTTCACAGATTCTTCCCAACTATTCAGGCGCCTATTTTTTCTCTTCCGGAAACCCCTACACGTTTTGTCTTCTTCGTTCAACGTAACCGTCCTAAACACGCGTTATTGGCAAAATTTAGAAGGACGAGGTTGCACTATAAAAGGGAACAGACCATTACAGAACTAGGTCGCACAATCTACTAGCCAAAGCTTCCGTTCATAGTTTTCTTAGGCAGTCAATATTACTTTCAAATAGTGATAGACCTTCCACATCGGGGACTATCACAACTCTAGTTTTCAATTATTATTTTCAATTTTGCAAATATGTACTGAATTATTCATCAAGCGTGCCAACATTATTTCAACTGTTTTCAAGTTATTGTACGCAAAGATTATTTTCCAGTTTAATCAGAGTTAATTTTGTTTTAGGTTCAATTTTATTTGAGTTTTAGTTTTAATTCTCGTTTTAATTTTATTCAATATTGTTATGTTTTTTGAAATAATGTTTGTTTATTGTTTATTAATCGTAATAGTATGTTTGTGTGTATAACCATGTTCATCTAAGTAATTAGATACCAGTATGTAACAGAAGTCGTTCGGACGGGATTTGACGATAATTGGCTTTAACGTTTATAAGTAATTTTTCTAGTTTTGGTTTCTAATTTAAAAATTAAAACAGTTTTTCTACGAAAGTGAAAAGCCAATAAAGGTTAGGATTAATAGAGCGACAATTTGAGATTTTAACTGGATAGTGAAAATTAGGCATTAATCCTAAACACAACGACAACGCTTTAGGATTAATTAGAAATTATTGATTTCCAAAAACTACTTTTAATTCAAATGAGTGAACTACAACAAAGTGTTTTTGCTTAAGAGTATAGTCAGAGTCAATAGCACGATAGTGTGAGATAAAGTATTTTAAATCAATGTTTTCCACAAAAATATATTTTAACACGCCAACATTTTATCGAATCCCCGAAATATGATGAGTTGCATACCAGTATCCCGTCATTGAATATTTTTATTAACTTAGAATTTATTTCCCTTTTTCCAAAAACCCAAGACGATAACATTAGCCTTAGATTTACACATTAACATTAGATAACATTAGTTTGATTATCAGTCCCTATAGGTTCGATATCTTTTAAAAGTACGCGATTATACCGTGCACTTGCAGTCAGTAAATCCGATAGACTCTTAAAATCGTGATCAAGTTTTTGGCACCGTTGTCGGGGACTGATTTATTCAATATTTTGATTCCATTGTTGCGTAGTATAGACTAAGGAAACAATATGTTACCTTTAATCTATCGATTGTATGCCAAAAACTCGCTCTCAAGGCGAGGAATTAGAGCAACCAATTGACGAGATCGAGCATTTAATTAGTATAAGACGCCGATCCGAGAATACTAAATTAAGTACAATTTTCCCTAATTTAATCTTCCCTACTTTGCTTTTCAAGAACCAAGAATGGCTGAAGGACCCCAAAATCGTTCTCTCAGGGATTATATTGTCCCATCACCGGAAGAACCTCACAACATCATTGTTGCCCCTGCTATCAACCAAAATGATTTTGAGTTGAAACCTTCATTGCTACAAGTTGTCCAACAGGATCAGTTTTCAGGAAGTCTAACAGACGACCCGAACCTACATTTATCGGTGTTTGTGCAGTACGCAAACAGAGTGAAAGTAAATGGTGTCATCCCCGAAGCAATAAGACTATGTTTTCCCTTTCTATGCCATCTAACTCTGTTACCACATGGGACGAGTTAAAGAAAGCTTTCTTAGCGCGATATTTTCCATCCAATAATACGTCTATGCTAAGAGCCAATATCAATGTCTTTAAACAAAAGGAAAGCAGATCTCTTTTCGAAGCATGTGAAAGATACAAAGACATGTTGCGACTTTGTCCACATCACAGTCTAGAAGAATGGTTGATTATCCACACTTTTTACAATGGTCTCTTGGATAACACAAGATTAACAATATACGATGTAGTTGGCGGCACATTGATGGATAAACCTTACCATGACGCTTATTAGCTTATCAAAAGTATGGCTCAAAATCATTACCAATGGGGAAGCGATAGAACCATTATGGAGAAACCTCAAACGAAAGGTGGTATATACGAAGTTAGTAGCTTAGACCAAGTTAAAACTAAGGTAGAACCCCTTACCCAAAAATTAGAAAGCTTGACCATAATTCCCGCAGCCACCATGGTTGCAGTAGCTCTAACATGCGATTTATGTGGACTTCACGCACATGCTTCCCTCGAATGTCCACTTTTGACAGGAGTACTAGTTAATCAAGTAAATTATGCTCAAGAGAACCCTTATGGTAATACCTATAACCCTGCCTAGAAAAACCATCCAAATATTTCGTACAAAAACAACAATGCATTATATGCACCTGGCCAAGCTCATGCTACACTTCCAGGATATCAAAAAGCCACGCCAATTGTTCCAAATGTTCCTAGGAAATCCAACCTAGAAATTATGATAGAAAATTTCGTAGCCACTCAAGCTCAACAAAACAAGGATTTTCTAAATAAGAACATATACACTAGCGAACAACTCAAGCAACTATCAAACAAGGTTGATGCCCTAGCCACTCATAATAAAATGCTAGAAACAAAAATCTCGCAAGTGGCTCAATAGCAAGCAGCTACCGCTGCTCCAGCTGGCACTTTCCCTGGACAACCACAACCGAATCCAAAAGGTCATGCTAATGCTATAATGTAACACCCAAATTTTTAGAATTTCTTATTTAATGAACTATTAGATGTATTTGTGAATTAAGAACGAATAAGGATGTTTTATATGATTGTGTATGATGCGTGTTAGTATTTTGTTGTTTATGACATGGAGAAACATGGTGTGAATTATGGTGAATATGAGTATTAGAATAATTAAATAATCATTTAGTAATTACTTGGATTATTATTGAGAATATAATAATAGGAATAATTATTTAAATGATTATTTTAATTAGAGTGGTGTGTTGGTAATTAGAAGAAAGAGTGATGATATAATGGTAATTTGGGGTTGGCTAAGTAAGGGCAATTGAGGAAGATATTAGGGGTTCTTTGTGATAACAGAGAAAAAGAGAGAGCTATACGATTCATTATGTACGATCGAGATATTGGGAGAAGATCAAGAGAAGAGATTAAGGCAT